GCTGGCTCACCTTTCCAGACCCGTGTTCCTGGTGGTTCCCAGGGCAGTGCCCGACCTGCTGTTCAGGTGGAAGCCTAGCTCGGCCAACACTTAAGCCACAGCATTTTAAAAGGACTGTGTTTTAACAGAAATTCCAACCAGGTAACAACAGCCGGGCCCTTTCCACGCCAGGAATGTTCAGCAACACGCTTCTGCCTGAATCAGAACGATGCCAGGGCCCAGGCAGGGAGTAAGTACGGCAAGGGCTGCAAATGAGATGGGCACGATGGCAATACGTAGGAAAAACATGTGTGTGTCATCTGATGAAATCTGATGTATTGGGAGGACATGTTGCTCCCCAGTTTATTGGCAGAGACTGTAAATGGCACAGACTGCTTCAAAAGAAAGAGAACCTTAAGAGATACTTAAAACTTCTTGCTTACACTTAACTAAACAAAAATATCTCCCGTTACTAGCAATTAACTCTCTTTCATTTGATGGGGTGTTAATTTTAGTAGCTCATCATATGTCACAGACTTACTCAGGCTAAACAAGAGCTCCATTTTTAACAGGAGAAAACAAAAATCTTCCTTTTTAATGGAAGAAGATGATATTCAAGGTGTCACACACAAAAAAGAGGATATTGGGTAAGATTCAAAACTGATTTCTCCTTTGCAGGTGAAAACTTAGCCACTTTCTAGTATAACTGGAAAAATACCTAACTGCAGAGTGGCTCTACATTCCTGTGCTCCTCAGTGACGATACTAACGCATATACAACTTTGCAAACATATATTTTCATTTTAAGGGTGTTCCTGATTAACTTGACCTAAATCAAAATAGTTCTCCAGGCAGCCTTTGGAGCGCATACAGCTTAGCACCATGGTGAGCTGTAGTACCGCACTGCAACTCAACAGATGAGGCCCAGTTAACTTCTCGGTCTCTTAGCTGTCAAAGGTTTTGTCTGTATTTTTTGAAAACACGTTACATAAAACACGGTTTCACCTGCTTATCATCTAAAAGAGACAAAAGCACTGCTTATTTGTAAGTATCTTACCTGTCTGTGGTTAGATGATCACAAGTGGATGAATCTTGCATCCAAATTCAGAAGGATTGCTGAAAAAACACCAAAAAACCCCAAATAAACAAACAAAATTAATTTCCTATGGAGGAAAAAATTAAAATAAATTCTTTAGGAAAAACTTGAATATTTTTGGCTACTTTTTAGCATATTAGTTGGAACCATCCTTCACAGGTCCTTCACTGAAGCTGTAATTTAGTTCACGTACAGTCTAGTATAAAAGATGATGTGCCCTTCCTCCGGCTGTGTTTCCCTCTGAAACCCCTTTCTTTTCTCTCTCATTTTCAGTGGATTAGTCACATCATAATAAACGGGTGCATTGTTTTACAAACATCTCCATGGTCTTCATATTGAAAGTAAAACTGCCCATTTTCCAGTGGCAGCTGTGCTGGGAGCCAGAGATACCAGTAGGGTGAAGCCTGCAGGTAGAAGTTGCACCTTTATGAGCGCAGCTTACAGGGCTCGGAGCCCTGCAGTGTGCAAACCTACCGCCACAGCCAGGGCAGCTCACACACAGAGACGTTTCTGGCTCTGCAGGGCAGGAACGTTCATTTCAGATGCTCAGCCCAGCACCGCTGGAGCACCTCGTTCGCCTCCTCGAAGAGCCGTAAGGTTGGCGGGTGCTGGAAACTTGGTGGCAAAAGAGGAAAACCAAAGGAGAGGGCGAGCGTTTTACATGACAATGATTGAAAATGCTCAACACCCATCTTCTCTAGAAAGCAGATTTTAAAACCGCTCATAATTTAGACCCCAACACAGCAGCACAGTGGGGTCTGAAGAGCTGGATCGGGGGGGGTGTGCGCCCGGGTACGTTTATGCAGCCCTGAGCCCCTTTCCAGTTCCCACCAAATGGCTGTTTGAGTGGCAGAGAGTTCTTTTCCACTACAAAGCAAGACAGTGTTTTCAGGGGCCACTTGTATGCACTAGGCTTATGATCATTATTAATTACACCCATTAAAGGTGCCTATCACCATCGCATCTGGGTACTATCCATGTTTGATTATTTATTTATAAAAAAATTCTCCAACCTTGTGACAATTTTAATCAAGTGTTTCAGTTGATAATTGCAAGCTGTCAAGGTTAATACAATAAGGCTCATCTCTAATTCTTTTTCCATTTCCCTCCAAGAAAAAAAAAAGACCCTCTGGGATAATGACTGTGGTTTCTATATTCCCAACTCATCAGGGAGTGTCCTGCATTGAACCACCTTTATTGAAAAGTTACATCGATTCAATATATAGTAATACAGGCAAAAATAATTACAGCTTTGCTAGCAGTGTAAGACCTTAATCCAAACCTCACAAACATTCAATAAAAAGCGATACAGGCTGGGAATAGGCTTTTGACAGTGGAGCCCCAAAGGGGAGTGGAGGTGGGGTGGAAATGGACAGATGAGGGCATGTAAAAAGAGAGAGAACCACAGAGCAAAGCCGGTTAGATGAGCTGGGGAGAAGCAGGTGAGAATTCCAACGAGTATTCCTCAACCTGCGTGTTCTTTGTTGCGGGAGGAGGAGAAGTTGCAACATCAGAATGAAATGCCAGTGAAACAATTAGGCTTTGCTTGTGCTTTCTGTGTTGTATTATGGTTTTACCTGAATTTGTCCACTGGCAGGTTCCATCTTAACAACTTCTGAGGAGTTGTCTCGGCTCTGGAGCGCTTACAGCCTGGAATGACAAAACAGAGCTGGGCTGGGGGGGCGAAAGTAAGGCGAGGAAAGCAGGGACTTGCTCAGGAGGAAAGGAAAGGAGGCAAAAGAGGCATCACCAGAACCCCGGGGCTGATAACATGCTCCTCCTGATTGCGGATGGCAGTTTTGCTGTTGCCATCACCAGGTTGAGTCCAGGACTGCTAGATAATGTAATTATCTTTAGTTACACAGTAAAAATGTACTTCCCCTTCAATTTAAGGAACTTTGCAAAATGCTGCATCTAAAAGTGTTCTTAAAGTGTTTTTGAAGAGACGTCACTAGAACTCAGGCTTGGTCTTTGCTTTGATCTGCTGGAAGAGGTTTTCCTTGATTAAAAAACTGAAAATAACGTCGATAACAACGGTATCAGAGAAAGCATTGATGCCAATAGGGCCTGTCCCCCTTGGGAACAGGGCGTGAGCTACGCTGGCACCAGACCCCGCGTGTCTCCCATCAAACCGGGCTCTGCTGCTCCGCACAGACCGTCTGAGCAGCAACAGCGTCTGACTCGGGCTGTGCCAGGAGAAAAGGTTGTACCGCAGGCAGGGACCCGCCAGGCGCCCCCCGTGCAAGTGCTGCTTTCTTTGCCTCAGGCAACACACCCAGCCAGGTTACCTGAGCCAAAGAGTTTAGATTCTGTGAGCTAACCTGGCTGGTTTTGCCCGGAGCGGATTAGGAAGCGCTCAGCCGACTGCTCCGCTGGGATACCTGTGGGATGGCGGGAGCAGCCGAGGGCAGCACTTACCTCTTCCACCGGGCTGGCAGAATCTGGAGGAGGGCATCAATCCGGGGCTTACATCAGGTTCTCTTCTCTAGAGGACAGGAAGGCAGGCGTGTGGCTAATACACAGGGGGAAGGCTCTCCAGGGTCAGGCTGGGACACCACCGTTCATTAGGATCATTTCTTGGTTCTGGGGGTGAGGAGAAGGAAAGGAGCAGCCTCTGTAGTGTTATCAGAAAATCTCCACCACCCCCCCTGCCGAAAACAGGCATGCAATTATTTATCTACTTTATTAAGGGTTATGTAAATTGCCTGTTTGAAAAATAATAGCAAACTCGTAAGCAAATAAAAAAAGCGGATATTTGACTTAAGACTGTTGGGTTTCACTTTCTTTTTCAGCTATCTGCCAAAATTGGCAGGGACTTCTAGCCCTAGTCAGTTACAAATATGAAAATATTTCTTTTCCTATTGTATTAAATCATAGACCATATCCACAGTTGTTTAAAATCAACACAGCTCCAATAAAAGAGTCATGTTAGCTGAGGATCTTGCCCTAAGCGTTTTTTTAAACGCTATGAACATAAGGGTGAAATTAATTCTCAGAGGACAGGGCTTTAAACACATGAATAATCCCACAAATTTCAGTGAACATAAATCTTCGCAGGATTAGGACCTTGCACTGCACTGAGGCCCCTTTGAAAATATGACTCACTCATTTGTTATATAAATACGTATAAACTTAACTTACCCCTCAAAACCTTTGGGAACAGCACCAGTTCCAGGCAGCTTCAAATGTTGCTGTTGTCAGTTATGAAGAATATAGCTGCAATTAAAGGCAGCGCGAGTGACTAATAAATAATTTACATAAGCCCAGTGTTCTGGGAACGTGCCAGGTAAGACTACAGCGATTCAGCCATATGGGGTAAACCAAGCGAGAAAGAGGCTGGCCCATTATTTCCGCTGAAGCTACATCAGCCACCCCTCGCTCTGGTCATTGTCCAGTGAATCGGCACTTGTAACGCTCTGGCTGGGTCCCGTAGGCAGCGCAGGGGCGAGCGCCCGTTTGCTCGCACGGCTTTCCTCACTCCCAGCGTAGCGCTGTCTGCCAGCAGATGAGCAGGCGGGGCGGGAAGCAGAAGCCCCTGCGCCATGCTGGGTTTCACAAAGGCTTTTGAGCGTTCAACTGGAGAAAGCATGAGGCGTCTGAATTGTTTGGGACGGTGCTGAGCAATGTCCATCTCCAAGGACGCCTCTCAGGAGATAGATAAGCACCCAAAATGGCTCGGCATTTCTGAAAAGTCACGTGCCGGGCCTTGAGTTAATCTGCTCTCTCCTTTTTCCATCTAAGAACCACAGCGGGCCTTGGCTTTTGGTGAATTCCCTGTGAAACAGCACACTGTCCATGGGCTGGGGTCACTATCGGTCTCACCATCCTGGTTCTCACTAAGGCCTGAAACCAGTAAATGAAACAGAAGGTCCGGTCTGGTTTAACCTGCAGACCAGGCCCTTGCTGCAGTAGCACACAGGAGGGTGATGGGCTCAATTATGTTCTGTTCCCTAAAAATGTGCCAGAATTTCATCTTTGTCAATTTTCTTTTTCAGCCATGACTGGTCTTGTCGTTCCCCCGATGTAAGGAAGAGGCAGCTTTGCTCCTCTCCCTCTTCCCTTTTTTCCTCTTTTTTTCATTTTTCTTTTACAGCACAAAACTACTTATTGTGATGGACCACTAAAAAGAAAAAAATAGCACTACAAGCTCTTTTTTTGGGGGAAAGCCAGGCCCAGGATAAAAAAAAAAGGAACATTTTTTATGGACTGGACAAGATAGAAGCCTGCATCTTTTACCTGTTTCATATTTCTGCCACAACCACGTCAACTCCTAAAACATTGTGAGCGAAGAATCAGCCCGGAGCCAGGATGACCAACGGCTGGCAGGACGGAGTCGGAAACGCAAAGTCTTTCTTGAACGACGTGAAACCTTCCTAAGATTTGTAAGATACTAAAAGGAGAAAGAAATTGGCAAAATGATTCAAGCTTGATATTTTGGATACAATTTGTTTTACTTTGTAGGGGAAAAAAGTTGAAGTTTCTATTTTCTATGGAGCCTTTCAGATATCGATTTAGTTTATGCAGAAAAAAATTCCACAAAACAGGGTACCAGCATGAAAGAATTTCTAGGACAAACTGACATGAATGATGGAACTTTGGTGTATGTGTGTATTTGCTTATAGTTTAACCTCTTTAAAAAATGTAAGATGTTTTACAATTATTTAAATAAATAAACTTGTAACTTATTGTATGTAGAGGTAGAAATTAAACCCTTTTTTGGATTTTTTCCTCCAGTTGTACAATGAAGAAAAATGATGCAAAAATGTAGTGATAAGTTTGAGATATATTATTACTGCTGCAATTGCTCCTCACTTTTTCCCTCTTGCTGAATTCATGTGCAAGGATGTATAGGATTCTTTCCAATTAACAAAATCATCAGAAACTTTCACATACATTGTGGTATACAGGTCACTAATTCATGTATGAATTTTGATCCTCCTCATCTTTCCCCCTTCCGTTTTTTGTTTCGATTAAAATATTCAGGTACTAAGATGAACTGGCAAGTTTCAAAGACCCTGCTGGCAAATGAGTGGCACTTAGGGGTTTGAACAAATGGGAGTTTTCACGAGGTACTGCGTTTGTTTTGGAGATTCAATGTACGAATTAAGAGGGAAAGGGTTCTCTAACATACTGTTTTCATTGTAGTTAGAACACCTTAAGTTCAGTTATACTTCATACTAAGGGTGCATTTATAAAGGGTAAATATGTATTTGAATAATTTATGCACTTTTATCCTGAGTCATTAAAAATGGTAAGTATTTTCCATTTATATATTGAAGTTCATAGAAGTAATCAATTGCTTTGAATTTTTCTGCATTTTAGCATAAAAAAAAAGTTTAGTTCTCCTTTGCATCTCCTCACCTGAAAATGGAAGGTGAGAACAAGTCAGATAAAAAAATCACTAGTTATCCGACTAAACCAGAGACACTCAAAAGGATTTGATGGTTGGAAAGCCATTTTTAGAAGAAATAAAAAAAGTCACCTACACTACTTCCACCCCACTCAACAGACACGATTCATAGCTGCATGAATAGTTGTTCCTATGGTAACATATAAATAAACCCTTAATGTATGGCTGCTGAAACTGTGCTTGTCCATTTGCCCAGTAGTTGTATCGATGGGCGAGTGAAATAGTGTCCGTGGTGATCCTCGGCTGCGGCAGAGGATGGTCAGTTCAGGCTGTTGAGCAGCTGCGACAACGTGCACGGCTGAGGTGACCTGGAGCTCGTGTGGGGCTGATCTGGATCAGTAACGGGCTGGAAAGCCTCTGCCCAGACCCGTGGTTCGAATCCAGCTGCAGGGGTCACGCCTAAGGGCTTGGTGGGGCGGGGGGTATGACTCGACAGACCCTCAGCAAAAGGACAGGACAGCGTTTGCCGCCGGGTGAATCCCTCCCCTGGACGCGCGGTGCGGGAAGGCTGACGGCCCCCGCGGCAGAGGAGCTGCTCCCTGAAGCTCCGGGCCGTAGCGCAGGGTACAGAGGGAAATGCATTCAATGGATGGGAAGCCTTAGGGGATGTGTTTCTTAACCAGAAGGCAGCACAGCAGAGGAGCCAGGGGACTGGAAGGAGAACGAAACTGGGCTGCTCCTGTCACTCCTAGAGAGGAGACGCCTGTTGGGAAGCAGCTTTGCACTGCTCCTGCCTGTGCCGTGAAGTGTTGGTAGGGGCTTCATTCGGTGTTTGTTCAGTGCTGTTGAATTCAGCTTTTCACTGAAAAATTTCCACCTTCAGGTGGAAGGGGTTTGCTGTCTTCTAAAACTTAAGGGCCAATTTATCATATCAGTAAAAATGGGCATTTGAAGCAAATTTAGAGAGATTTGGTGGGAACAATGTGTTTTTAAGAAGCACAAATATAGTTAGTCAGTCTTACAGTCAGGCTCCTGAAAGTGCCTGCATTCCAGAAAAGATGAAATACAATAACTCACCGTTAATTATGGTTGCAAGTTCATTGACGCTGCAGGTTCTCTGAGTGCCAGCAGGGAAGCAGCCGTCACTGGAGGTCAGCGAGGCAACCAGCCCTGAGCCAAGCGACCTCTGAAATAGGTGTTAAGAAGGCTGGAGCTGTACCTGCGCAGGCACTGCCGGGCGTTCCCCTTCGGTGACGCAGCAGGGCGCACTGTCTGACCTCAGCGTTGTGGTTCAGAAAAAACACCCCCCACGTAAAAAAAGTATTTCGTACCTTCGTAGGTAGCGATACCCCAGCAAGGCGAAGAGCGGGAGGTCCAAATCCATGTCTGGAATTCTGCGTGCATACAGGGAAAAAAGTAGGTTGAGGATTATTAGAGTTGGGATTAATTAATTAATTGATCTTCCATAAATTTCAGTAAAGTCCCAGATTAAAAAAAAAAACCTTGACGGACCAGGCTCATTTCTGATCACCCCATTTTGACCTACTAAAACCCCCAAACAGCTCCAAAGCATAAAGAGGGTGGGTTTTTTTTCCTCTGCCCTTCTCCGTACAGGCTACTTTTAAAATTCTGTCATCATCTCTGGTTGGACTCCCAAGTTCTGTGTCCAGCAAATACTCCAGATAGATCGGAATTTCTAGACCACATGCTGAAGAAGAGCAGCTTTCTACCTTAACTCCTCTCACAGGTTTTTAACAAATAAGCTTGTCATTACAAAAATCTCAGTCAGGAATGTTTCCAATTAAAAAAAAAAAATAATTGAGACACTTCATGGAAAAAACTATCCTGTTAACTGCCCACCCTTCTTTATTATTGCTTAGTCAGCACAGGCACATAAAAATGATCACTGAAGTCTCAGCAAGATTCAGGGAGACAAGTGACAGGCTGGCTACGGAAAGGGGAGGTTCTGAACTGCTCAACATTCCTGTCACACTTCAGTTCGTTTCATTAGCTCCGTCCAGCCGCTCAGGTAGGAGAGCCCCGAGTCCAAATGAAAGAGAAAACCTCCCTAGAAAGCTGCTTCAAGTACCTGTAGGAAGAGAACCAAGTGTAGCTGCCTGTGTTGATGTCAACATGGAAAATGACTTTTTCTGGTTTGATTTGAGCCAAACAAATGAAAATAATTAAACATAGGAATGATGTAGAACATGGATTTTGCTCACGCATGGAAATCATCGTACTCAAGATGAGTGTAGAACTTAATGGTAGCTTTACAAAGAAAAATGTGTGTAAATAAATGCAATCAGAAATCCTTGACCATGAAGGAACGAAGGACTTTGGCAGTGGCAAAGCACCCAACAAAAAGGAAAAGTAATGTAAAAATTTATGTGTAAGGATTTTTTCAATGTAATAAGCAAATCTGTCCTCTTTTAGTTATTGCTGTTTACTATTCCCTAACAGCTTTCCTTTTTGCCACTAGAAAGATGAAAGTGTTGCGATAGGTAACTACAAATTTTATCATAACTTTGAAAGAGTACGTTTTATTTCATTATTTATCTCGGTATAGCATCTTACTCTCCCTCTTTCTTTGCACACTTCCAATATGCATGGTTTTTAAAGACCGGTTTCTCCCTTCTGTAAATTAAGGCCTCATTTCTCCCTCCTGTATAGTTTTGGGGTTTGTTTGGGGTTGGCTGGTTGTTTTTTGTTTTTTTTTTGTTTGTTTGTTTTGGTTTTTTTTGCTTTGTCAGTTATATACGGTATGAAGTTGCTATGCACAGAGCTTTTGTAAAGATAGCTTTTTTTGTTTACTGTTTTTAATGGTCCTACTTATGGAAGAATATCTTGTTTGTAAAATGAATATGTCTACTTCAGTTTTAAACTTTAAATTATCCTAACAAAAAATAAAATTTTTGTACTGTAAACAAGGGACTGGGACGTTTACAAGTCACTGGGATGTATTAATTTCAGAATATTCAATATGCTTTACTCTCCGTCGTCTGTATGGGTCACTCAAGGTGCTGTTACAGCAATAACACTTTAAAAAAAGGGTAATTACATGCTCTGTGACAGTTTTTCGAGTCACGCCTTCGTGCTGGTGCGTAAGAGGTCCACCCGCAATTTGGCAGAGCCAGATGGGGATCATGCCAGCCGTGGAGTAAGACAGTAACGGTCTCTTCTGGCCGTTCCTTTATTACAGCTGACTAACACATGGACGGTGCCTTTGTGAGCAGAGTCCTTTTTGGGGGAGGAAGGGCGTCCAACGGCAGGATAGCTGCAGTTTCCCGTTTGGAAACCTCCCCGCTGAGTTAGTAGCGAGCAAGTGGTCAAAGCACAAAACCAAAACCCAAAACTGGGACTGACTGATACCGGCCTTTGGACTCTGACTGCGGCACTAAATTTGGGGTTGTTCCTTGGGCCTGCCTCAGGCACTGCCTTTGTGCACAGCTCTGAGCGAGCGGCGACCCTGAAAGCAGGTCCGAGGTGTATCTACTCCCTCCTGCAGCAGAGCGCGTGTTTTAATCACGGGGACATATAAATACGCTTCTTTGCGGCTCCAGGAGAGGAGTCCAGGCGGCAGAGGCCTTGCCAAGGCCACTGCCGTTCTGTTCTACCTGTTCTTCAGAAAGAGCCAGACCCACTGGCTGCCAACGCCCAGCTCAACCGTGTGTAAGATGGGCAATTGCTGTTCTCATTGATCGTTGATCAAAAAAGTAAATTAGCTTTATTTTTTCAGAAAAAAACACCAGAATGCTGAAAAGCATTTTGGAAAATGGTAATTGACTATCTAAACCAGGAATATTCCACTTTCTTGTGTGAAAATCACTGGAAAGGTTCAAACAAATGAAAATTTTCTTTGATGATGAAAGCCACTTTTATTGGCATGTTTTGACTAACAATACAGAATATGAGTCCGTGTTTAAACTACTGCCGGATGTCAGTGAGAGCATCTGAAAACATTAGGCACTACAACCAAAAGCTGAGAAGAAAACGAGGGTTTTTCATAATCTGCCTCACTCATTCCGGGATAACATGCAATCAGTAGATGACCTTCTTCCTGAGAGTGAAACCTAAGCTGCCCACTGTCCTAGCGAAATAGCCTTCATCTCATCGTGACAGAGGCCCCTTCTACTGAAAATCTGATTCAGCCTTCCCCCCCAAGACATCCCAGCAGTGTAT